AGGAGCCTGGCTTCTGGTTGAGTAGCGCACCCCCTGTGGAAGTGCACTGACCACCAGGGGGGAGCTCCTGCATTGAGAACCTGCCCCCTAGTGGTCAGTACGCATCATAGCGACTGGTCGTTTCACCCTTTGGTCGATTTGCATATTAGCCTTTTATTATATAGGATGATGAGAGAGAATCATTGATCAGCTGCCTCCTGCACACCCCACAATGGGGATCGAGCCCCCAACCTGGGCATGTGCCTTTGACCGGAATCCAACCCAGGACCCTTCAGTCCACAGGCCGATGCTCCATCCACTGAGCCAGACCAACTAGGGCTGAAACCAATTTTTTTTTTAATTAAAAGAAATCAGCTATTATACTAACAAAAGAAAAAACATGAACGATTCAGTCGCCAACAGTTGTCGGTATGTTTGTACGTCTAGAAAGCTCTCGGGTAGGTTTGCAGATTCGAGACAATAACCCACAGATGAAAGCAGAGCCGGCAGGTGGCCGGACCTGAGGCTCAGACACAGAAGCCGCGAGCTCTTCTTGCTCGGCAGTAGCCGGTGAAGGCGGAAACGGGCAAATGCATGTCAGAAGCTGCAGACACTTAGCAACAAACTTAACGGTAAAACGCCTGCCGAGGGGCTGGGTCCTGGCAGGCGCCGCGAGGGGGCACCGCTGACGTGGCCTTCGGTCACGCTGAACCCCACATCCAGGCGTCCCCGCTGCCCTCTGGGGACAAAGGCCCATTGAGCCCTCTGGCCCCGCCGGCTGTGGCTTCGCCTGCCCAAATGCCAGCTCGCTTCCTGATCCTGCTGGACTGTGTCGGGGACCGGAGCTGAGAAGGGTCTCCCTCACCCCCGTGTAGCCAAGCCCGGAGACAGACTCAGCCATGCGCCAGGTCCCCCCCCGCAGCCCCCGCCATAGAGCACGCTCCCTCCGCCTTCCCCTCCACCGCACACACCTCTCCACACAGCAACGCCATTGTCTGCATCGCAGCCTCTAAAGGCGGAGCACAGGCCAGCGCAGGTGCCCGCTGCCCCGGGGGCCTGGACCGCGCTGCCGCCTTAGAGAGATGTGTCCCCGTTGTTCTCCACGGACGGCACGCAGGTCCTGACCCGCACGCACTCCCCGCGCCCTGGGAACAGCCGTCCGGGGAATGAAACGGCATCAACCGAGGACAAGGACCTGGTGGCAGGGGGACCGAAGCAAAGGCTAAACCAGGACACACAGGGCGACGGGGTCCGCGGACCTGGGCACCTGAGACCGCGGGCGGAGGGGACCACGGGCAGCAGGACGGTGTCAAGGCCCCGAGAGACTGAGGGGGCGGGCCTGACCACAGTGCGTGTGGGGGCTGCTAGGCCCCAGACCCCTCTTCATCCCTATCAAGCACAGGATGGACCAGAGCGGCTGTGGCCTGGGAGCCCCGCGCCGGGCAGAGATGGCAGGGCTGGGGACTGGACTGAGGCCAGCGAGGGGGGCCAGACCCCCACCCTCCCTC